TCTTTTTGTTTTCCGATGGTCTTAGGCGACCCCTGTGAAAGGGTCGTTCGACCCCCAAAGGGGTCGCGACCCACAGGTTGAGAACCACTGCTCTACACCATCCATGAAGTGGTCTCCCTAACAAGACATTAGGCCATCTGACCCCCTAAAAATATTTACAACATTATTGATTAGACTCCCCAAACTGTCTTTCATATCCCTGTGGCAATATTGTAGTTACCAATTTATGTTGTCTCGTCCCTTCCCCTTCTCTCTCATCCCCACCCCTCCCATCTAGCAAACATCAGTTGTTCCTCTATATTTCTGAGACTATTTCTGTTTACAATGCTTGTTTATTCAGTTCTTTAGATTCCACATATAAGTGAGATCATATGGTATTTGTCTTTTTCCAACTGACTTATTTCACTTAAGATAATGCTCTCTAGGTCCATCCATATTGTTGCAAATGGTAAGATTTCATTCTCATTTATAGCTGAGTAATACTTTGTTGTATAAATGTACCACAGTTTTTCAATCCAGTTGTCTACTGATGGGCATTTCAGTTGTTTCTAAGTCTTGGCTATTGTAAATAGTGCTGCAATGAACATAGGGGTACATATATTTTTTCGAATTAGTGTCTTGGGTTTCTCTGGATAGATACCTAAGAGCGGAATTGCTGAGTCATAGGTAGTTCCCATTTCCAGTTTCTTGAGATACTTCCATACTGATTTCCATAGTGGCTGCACCAATCTGCAATCCCACCAACAGTGCACAAGGGTTCCCTTTTCCCCACAACCTCGCCAGCACTTGTTGTTTGTTGACTTATTGATGATACCCATTCTGACCGGAGTGAGGTGGTATCACATTGTGGTTTTTATTTGCATTTGTCTAATGATTAGTGAGGTTGAACATTTTTTCATATGCCCATTGGCCATCTATATGTCCTCTTTAGAGAAATGTCTCTTCATATCCTCTGCCCATTTTTAAATTGGGTTGTTTGTTTTCGTGGTGTTGAGTTGCGCGAGTGTTTTATAAAGTTTGGATATTAACCCCTTATCAGATGTATCATTGACAAATATATTCTCC